TTTCCCAGAAGCCTTCCTCACTGCACGGCTGTGAGAGGAACAGGCTGCCCTCTGAGCAGACCAGACCGTCTTAGAGCAGCCTTCTTCCTCCCGTGCACCCGCATCACCCTGGCCAGGGCGGCAGCTGCAGGTGCCAGACACTGCCAATGGTGGCAGAGGAAAGGGGCAGGATGTCCCTGGGGGAAGGCCGGCTGGGCCTGGGGACGCATGTAGGTACAGTATATGCATGGAGAGGCCCAGCATCTTCCATGGGCGCATGGAGAAGCCAAAGAGGCAACGAGCAGCAGCTCCTAAGCACGAGCCTATATGCCAGCCGTGTTCTTGCAGGCTTTTGTGACAGGTTTTCTAGCCTGGTGACCCACTGCTTCCTCCCCCTCCCCATTCAGTTCCCCACGTTGGTGTGTCTACACTGCCCGTGCCAGTGGACGTGGGCTGCAGGGCTGTTTCATTGCAGTGTACACCGCCAGGCTCAGGCTGCAGCCCTTGCTCTAGGACCCTCCCATCTCACAGGGTCCTAGAGCCCGGGATCCCACCTGACCCTGGAAGTCTGCACTGCAATTAAAGAGCCCCACAGCCTGAGTCCCGCAAGCCAGCCCTGCAGCCCCTGAGTCGACTGGCATGGGCCAGCCAGGGGCGTCTGGCTGCAGTGCGGACATACCCTAAGTGCACACAGCTGAGTGGGAGGCAGTGGTCAGTACAGCCCAGGCTGGGGACCGTTCGGCTGGAGGGAGCAGAAAACACAGCCGGGGGGGAGCGGCCATGTGCCAGAGCTGCCCCATTAGTAGCCCAGGTCTGCGCCTCAGGCTCCGTTCCATGGATGGGGCCAGGGAGCAAACCAGGTGTTTCCGTCCCACCCTGGGTGTCATTACCATGAAAGTAAGTGGCCTGCATGTGCCAGCAGAGGTACCTCACAGGCGATTCAGTGCGACAGAGGGACAGGGCCCCTGTGGGCGAAGGCTGTCCATGCCTGTCACTCCCTGAAGCCGAGATGATGAACAATGCCAATTCAACGGGCACTTCTTTGGCACGTGATATTTGCGCTGTCCCCCTCCTCCTGGCTACTCCCACTGCACTGACCTTGTCGCTGCGGCTTGTCTTGCAGGTGATAAATGCGATAGAGCAGGATTATCGGCTGCCCCCTCCCATGGACTGCCCCAACGCCTTGCACCAGCTAATGCTCGACTGCTGGCAGAAGGACCGGAACCACAGGCCCAAATTCGGGCAGATTGTCAACACGTTGGACAAAATGATCCGGAACCCCAATAGCCTGAAAGCCATGGCACCCCTCTCCTCCGGGTAGGTATTTCTTCTGCCACCCTGGAGCTTCTCGTTCAAAGGGAACTCCATCAGTGGCAGGTACCGTGTGTCCACACCAGACTGTGAAATCTCAGGCATTCAGCTGAAAGTATGCCTGGCCATTTCCATTATCTACGGGTAGCAGTGACTTCCGGTGATTGGAGCGGATGCGTCCTCCTCTGTAACGTGTCCTGAGCCATGCGTTAAAGAAAACTGGGAGAATAGAAAGAGGTTTCCACAGGCTTCAGCTCACTGGTCAGCATTTTTAAGCTGTCTTAGAAAACCAAGGACCCAGGTTCTAGTCCAGACATTGGCCTTTGCCAAGCAATGGATCCATTACACAGCTCGAGTTCCTGGTGAGCATGTGTAGAAGATATCCTGGGGAGGAGACACGTGCAGTGTCAGGAATCCAGATACCGTTTGTGACAGCGTGCTGCCTTTTCAGCCTGTCCCGGCCCAGGTGTAAGACGAAAGGCCCTTGATAACGGGGTGGGTTTGCAAAAAGCTGAAAAGGAAAAGGGAGGGTTCATTTCTTTTACAGAAATAACAGAACTTTCCCGACTCCGATTTTGTGTCATGAGGGAGCAGCTGGTATTGGGGCTGGATGTCTTGTTTGGGGAGGAGAGGGAGGTTGGCACGGAGGTCTGAGCTGGGCAAGAACCAGGAGGAAACCTGAGCTGGTTCAGTCGAGGAGCTGGAGCGTTCCAGCTGCCGTTTGGGACTTCTGCAGCTCCCTCACTTTCGTTCTTTCCTTCTTCCCTGTGCCCCAAGAGCCCCCAGCTCCCGTCCCTGAGAGGAAGTGCTTGGCTAGCCCTGCTCAGGGCCACCTAGCCACTTAACCTCACCAGGCTCCCTGAAGGAGCAAATAGACTTTGGCACTTCCCAGGCGGATCTGTTTGCCAGTAACAATACGGACTTCACAGGCACTTGGCCCCTTCTTAGAGCAAAACAAAGGGAGTAAGGCCTTAATGAGCTGAGGACATCTGCAGCTCTGCAACATCAGTCCTCATTAGTGATTGGCCTGGGGGGAGCTCGCTTAAACGCAGCCGCAGCCCCACAGATAGCATTACGGGCTGGCACCAGTATCCAGTCAAGTGCTGCTCTGACAAATACATCTGTGAAGAGCTAGAAAGAGGGTGCTGGAGCCACAGGATACTGTGTAGACAGGGGACGGAAGTGTGGGTAGGCAGTAGGATGTGAGTGACTTTGCAGATGCTACTGACTTGTCATTATGAATTGTTGTCCCCACAGGTCTGCTTTGTTACAACTAAAACTAGGGATTCCCTTTAGGGGTATAACAATTGTATTCATGTCTACTGCTCCTCTGAGCTGAACTCCCCAGAGCCCTGTGCAGACATGCCTCTTGACACCCCTCCCGCCCCCAGGAGTTCAGTACTATTGTCCCCATTTCACAGATGGGAAAATTGAGAAAGAGAAGGGAAGCAATATACCCACGACCACATAGTAAATCAGTGGTAGAACTGGGGCTAGCACCCAGATCCCCATCATATGCTTAGATTAATAGAGTCATTGATTTTAAGGCCCGAAGAGATCCCTGTGATCATAGAATCATAGAATCTCAGGGTTGGAAGGTATCTCAGGAGGTCATCTAGTCCAACCCCCTGCTCAAAGCAGAACCAATCCCCAACTAAATCATCCCAGCCAGGGCTTTGTGAAGCCGGGCCTTAAAAACCTCTAAGGAAGGAGATTCCACCACCTCCCTAGGTAACCATTCCAGTGCTTCACCACCCTCCTAGTGAAACATTTTTTCCTAATATCCAACCTGGACCTCCCGCACTGCAACTCGAGACCATTGCTCCTTGTTCTGTCATCTTCTCTGACCCTCTGTATAACACAGGTCACTGCCAGAATAATTCCTAGAGCACATTGTGTAGACAGAAATCCAGTTTTGATTTGAAAAGGGTCAGTGATGAAGACTTCACCATAACCCTGGGTAAATTGTTCCAGTGGGGGTTAATTACGCTCACTGTTACACCTTACGTCCAGTCTGAATTGTTCTAGCTTCAACTTCCAGCCATTGTGTTCCATCGTGTTATATCTTTCTCTGCTAGATTAAAGAGGCCATTGTTAAATATTTGTTCCCTATGATCAATCTAGATTTGAGCTGCTAAGGGGGAGGGAAGGGTAACATTTTATCCAGCCCCGCAAACTCACTCTGTACTGTTGGTCCACACCTGGGTAAAGTCATCTACACGGGGACAGACGGTGAATGGACTTGCTGCAGGTGCATTCCAGGGTTTGCCCCATCTTCCACAGCCAGCCAAGGGTAAAGAAAGCCCCTCCCAGGCTGCCACTAACTTCTGCTCGTTTTCTCTCTCTCTTTTTCAGGATTAACCTCCCTTTACTGGACCGCACAATCCCCGATTACACCAGTTTCAATACAGTGGATGAATGGCTGGATGCCATCAAGATGGGCCAGTACAAGGAGAGCTTTGCCAGTACTGGCTTTGCCACCTTTGACGTGGTGTCACAGATGACCATGGAGTAAGTGCCAAGAGCAGTAGTCACAGAACCGAAGCAAAAACCTCAGGGATCTTGCAACAATTGGCCATTATCAGATTTGAGGTTTCTGAGCTTTATATTAATCTTATCGTTAGGTAATATGAATAATTTTGTGCCAGAAAAAGAAAAGAAGCCCCCCGTTCATTTCTAATCTTTTCCAGTCCCGCTTTTCCTCTTTAATCCATGGGCTGAGTATCTGTCTACTAGATATTTCTACACCATTCATCTCCATGCTATCCGATTGGTTTTCTCCCTCCTATGAAGATGCAGTTCTGCATGAGGTTCTCCAAGCCCCGTAACTAGCCCAACAATGTCAAGGGGGAACAGTAAAGATTACAGGCGGGCACCAGGCAGTTCCCCTGCCACTGGAGGGCACGTTGGGATGCCATGACCCCAGTGGCTCCATTGCTGACAAGCACTTGCATATTGCATACAAGTCGCTGCCTGAAAAAGGTCTCTGAGAGCCAGGATGGTCTCCCGTTCGTTCCAAATAACCCTGCACACATTTGAAACAAGGGTATGCTCCTCACCCCCATCCAACAGTCACAAAAATGTAGCAGGCTCTCCAGGGACGAGCAGGCTGCTGAAATGCCAGCTCCAGTGGGTTGCGGGCTGCTGGAATCCCTTAGGGCCTCGATGCGTCTAGTAAAAGATTTGTGGCTAGGTGCATCGAACTTTGGAGGCCCTGACGGAGACAGTGGAATGAATGACCCATGCGGGAAAGCCGTCTGGAAGCACGGGAATGCTTTGTTTTCTTATGGGTCTGGGGCAGGGCAGCCTGCAGGTGAACTCAGTCAAAACCAGCCAAACTGACCTTTTCTGTTTGGGGTTTTTTTGTTTTGTTCTTTGCCTGGAAATAGCCATAGGACCGTGCCGAATGTGTCTGTGTCTCCACAGCAGCTCCACGGGCTGCTAGAGATGGCTTATGAAGCCTCCAGGCGGAGCTTAGAAACGACAGTAAAGGTGCCCTAGGACAATCGGAGCAGCAGAAGGAGGGCGAGAGGGAGGCTTTGGGGAGGGGAGGAGCTCTGGTCCACAAGCCGGGGAACACAATGTCAGCACTATGACCCCAAAGCTCTGCCAAACAGGTGACTGGTGTTTGAAGCGTGTCTAGTAAAAACAGACCCAAACTCAGCCTTCTCCACGTCTCTGGGCAGGGAAGCTGCAGGTGACCGTATATACAGAGCCGGTCACTGATGCAGTGAATTTGAAACGTTTCATGGGGATGGTTCAGTTTTGCCAAAGTTCTGACTTTGCCCAGGCAGGTTTGGAAACCTGCCGAGTTCCCCCCCAGGTTCGCCTCCTGGGTCCTCAGCAGCTTCCAGATTCCAGGAAAACCTGGCACACCCACTGCATCCTAGCCGGGGCCCCAGGGTCCAGGGCTCTAGGGCAGCCCATGCGGCAAGCGTGGCTCCATTCCCTTTGGGGGAGAATTTCAAAATGTTGGAGTTTGGTTTGTAATCAGAATGAAACCACAGGTTGAAATATCAAAATGCGCTGTGAGAGGGACACCCTTTCTCTCCCTATGAACACGGCAGGAAATGAGATTGCTCATCAACACGTCAGCTAGAAAGCAGAGGTGGGAGCGGACAGTTCCCTGAGCAAGTCTACCCACCCCACAGATTCCAGCAGGAGAGCAAAGACTGGGGGGGGCTGGGAGCTGAGGGTTTTAGAGATGCCAGTTTTGGGTCTTGTGGTGCAATGAAAGGGGCTGGGAGTCTGAGCATCAGTATCTGTCTGTGCAGAAAGGGAGGGAAGGTCCTTGCGGAGCCCACCACCCGGAAGCCAGATTTCCATCTGGAGGTTAGCACAGAGGATGCTGTCTGAGAGTCTGGGGAATACCAGGGCTGCTGGGGCCTTGGGGTCTCACACATAGGGCTGTCTCAGAAGGCACAGAGCTGCTTTAACGTGGGGCAGCCTGCTCCGTTCTCTGCTATTGGCACATGACTCTCCTGCCCCCCTCACCCTTGGCTTGTGACTGGAGGTAGAAAAGGGCCCATGCAAGCAGGCCTCCATGGCTCCTGTGCTGAAGGAATTGTCCTGCAGTCTCTTGTCACTCGTGTTGGGCCCCTACGTGTCCAGGCGGTGGTGTGACAACAGTCAAATGGAGAGCGTCTGATTGACAACGGTGAATTCCCCGCCTACAGTAATACATCCTTCGTAGTGCCAGCCCCCTGCGTCACTGGGACTTGTGTAGGGCCTAGGGCATCGAATTCACAAGCACGACTTTTTCTGATAAAACCAGTCCGCTAATAGCCAATGGTTCAGGCTGTGGAAATCCTGGCCAGGAGAAATAGACAGGATTAGCCAGGGGACAGGAGCCTCCTTGCCCGACTCGGGATGCAGCAGCTTGGCAGTGACCCCAGGTGGTTGTGTGAAATGAGTTGCCGGCCCCAGTCCTAGTGGGAAGGTCCTGGGTGCCCACACACAAGATCTCCACCGCTGGCACTAATTGGCCATCCTTGTTGGCACTCTCCTTAGAGAAGCGAATGAGCAAAAGACCAGCTTGGGATGGAGCTGAGGTACAGTAATAGGGGAAGCACGGGCAGCTTCCGTGGGATTCATGCACAGTATGGCAATGGGACCCATAAGGATACCCGGACGATAATAACAATGAATAATAATGTAATGCTTTCCATACAGAGACCTCAAAGTGCCGTGCAAAGAAAGGTCGGTGTCATGATCCCCATGTTATGGATGTGAAAACTGAAGGACAGAAATGTGATGAGAGAGAGGACATAAGAACGGCCACGCTGGCTCAGACCAATGGTCCATCTAGCCCAGTGTCCTGTCTTCCGACAGTGGCCAATGCCAGGTGCCCCAGAGGGAATGAACAGAACAGGGCAATTATCAAGTGATCCATCCCCTGTCGTCCACTCCCAGCTTCTGGCAAACAGAGGCATAGGGACACCCAGAGCATGGGGTTACATCCCCAACCATCTTGGCTAATAGCCATTGATGGAACTATCCTCCAGGGCTGTCAGTCCTCCACCTTTCATCAGCAACAAATTCACGTCCTTTGTTGCGGTTCAGTGATTTGCAGAGTTCTGAACATGGGAATGAGCTGTTAGTCGTCAGTTCTGAATATATTGTGTGGCATAGACCATCCTGGGCGTAGTGCAGCTATCTAAGAGGAAGTGCAGAGGCTAGGAGAAGTAGGCTAGGGAGAGACTTAGAAACAGACAAAGACCTGGGGCCCTGAGGGAGAGACCAAATCCAGTCTAAGCTGTGAATAGTTTAACAGAAGCAACCCTAAGACTCCCAGCTTCCTCAAGAAAGCGCTGCAGATGCATGTTCAGCGTATGGGTTTGTTCTGTGTCTGAACAGGGTTCCTTACTGGCCTTTCTTGTGTGTTTGTTTTTATTCCAAAGGGACATTCTGCGAGTCGGGGTCACTTTAGCAGGCCATCAGAAGAAAATTCTGAACAGTATCCAGGTGATGCGAGCACAGATGAATCAGATCCAATCTGTGGAGGTTTGATGTTCACACGTCCTCACACTCCTCTTCCTCAAGGCCCTTCTCCCCTTTGCCCCTGTACGTCCGAGCTCCAGTTCTTGAGTGTTCTGCATTCACCAGAGACAGGCAGCTGCTCTAAGGATCGTGGCAACAGGAAGCAACATCCTGACAACAAAAAGTTGCCAAGAGCTTCTAGAATTTAAGCAATGGAAAAAAGGGAACAAGGAAGACAAATATTTTGGGAAAACTATGAAATATTTTTTAAAAATAATAATAATAAAGCATTTTCGAAAAGGGCTCTGAGATCCACAGGAGTCTCCAAGGGAGATAAAAGAGCAGATCCTTTCATTTCCTTCTTGCACAAGGCTGCTTCAGCAGGCCTCAGACACCTCTGGAGCAAAGAGACTTTGTCAAGGAGATGAAAGCCAAGTGAAGCCACGGGAAGCGCTCCTCCTTTTCTCCCTTGGGATGGTGACGCTGGGGACATCCTGCAGCCAGCAGTCGTCCCCGAAAGCCCCCAGCTGGCGAATCACGGGGGGAGAGAGAGCTGAGAAGTTCTTGCCGTGTAATGGACCAAGCGCATCTGTAAAGTGGCAAACTTTTGCAAAGCTGAAGATTTTTGTAAAATAAACAAACTGAGACGAGAAGAGTCTTTTTTTCCTGCAGATGAGAAGGAACCTTGAACCCATTGGGAGTGGGGGATGGGGAAACCAATCCTTTTTAGAGCTCTTATTTTCTCTTGCCATGGAACGGTTTAGTGAGTGACGCGTTTTCCAGGGGTCTGCCCATCCAGCCCTCCAATGGCATCATTGTCTCATACATATCATATGCACAAGACTTTTAGTGATCGCCTCACTAGTTGCCAATGACCTTTTCTCAGAAGACTTCCCAAGTACAGTATGTAGTAGTTTTTGATTACAAATGCTGACGTGTCCATTTATTTTTCTGTTGTCGTTGTTTGGAGATTTGTCCTTTGACTTTGTTTGTTTACAACAATTTGTGGCTTGGGGGATGGATTTTGTTTTTGGTTGGTTGGTTGGGTTTTTTTATGAAAAGGAACTGACATTTCCAGGCTTCGGATCTCTCAAGAACTTGAACCTTCTCCCTGTGGAAGGAGAATTGCAGCTTACCGACTAGACAATACGCCAAGGGCAAGAGTTTTTATATTCACGTTTCCTCCTCTTTGCTCGTTTGTTATTTTGTAATTTCCATTGCCTCACAGCTGTTTATAACTGCCGTGTGTCCGGCTGAAATAACCACCTGCCCAGTTGGGGCTGCTGCTGTAGGGCGGGGCAGGGTTACGGAGGGTTTTGTGGATGGGGAAAGAGGGGTCATTCCACAGGTCATGATCAGAGCCCTTTGGAGACGCAGGACTGTTTAGAGCCCTACCAGCTGTGACAAAAGAAGATGTGGTGCATGCAGCGGAGAGAGGGAGGGGGGATGCACTACGGGCAGCAGCCAGTATCCTGCGTAAGGTTTCTCAGAGTAGGGACGCTGTCCCAGGCCAGGGTGTAAATCATTCACTGTGATACCTAACGCCATGCACTCAGATGCTCACCCCCTGCCTCAGGAGGTGCTTGATGTGCCAAAGGTTTCGTTCTCAGCTGCCACATCTAGGGGAGGCCAAAACAGCAAACGCTGGCTGGCCAAGGGCGCCACAGCAGGCAGGTCCCTCCCCAGGCCAAACCAGCCGACCAGGCAGTCAGGGGGTTTATAAAGAACTGACGTAAAGGCTTTAGTTACAGAACAATCCCCGGTCCTTGGACATACCACTGGACAAATCGGAGGGCAGTGCAAAAGAGCAAATGCTTGGATTTGCTCTTGTAGCTTTCATCACCCTGTGTCCTTCTGGGCATGTGCGGTGTCACTCGGCGTTCCTCGGGCTGCGCCCAGGGTCACCACGTCATTCGAACAGGAACACCTTTGCTTGGCAATGGCACAGGGCCTTGAAGACGTGTTCGCAGGGAGCTGCTCTTGGTTATTTTCCAGTGGCTAATGCCAAAAGGGCAAAGCATGTGCTGTGGATAGAACCCTATGTGCGGCGTACCCTCCTGGGCCACGCAGGCTTATACCGGAGTCTTTATAAAATATGTCAAGCCCTGTACAAAATACTTAACGTTTTCCCCTTAAGATTTGACCGGGAGACAAAACATGGCTGAGAGACAGGTCGCGGTGAGCTTTGGGGCACCCCTCTGCTTAGCTCTGTTCTCTCTGGTGTGTTCGGTGCACAGCTACTGCAGCGGGAGCCTGAAATGCCAAGTCTGCCTCTCAAGGGTCCGTTCGTCTGAAATGTGTCTAGATACTGGGCCTGTTTTTACATGGCCTGACGGCCAAACAGTCACTGGAATTCTGGGGACCTCTGTAACTGGGCCGTGCTGTGGCCTGGGGTCCATAGTTCTCAGTGGCCTCAGTGTCCATTCAGAGCAAGCACTCTGAAATGAATGGCACTGCTCCAGATTTCACTGCGAGCAGAATTTGGCCCAGTCTCTGATGATTGGGGTGAGAAACGCCAGGCGTTCTGTAGACTCCTGGGGGTCCGGGGGTGTCATCTGGCCGCACTGCGTTCTGATGCACAGTCAAGTCAGTCTTTATGTGTGTATTCCACTGCGGTGTGTGTAAACTGGCCCTGTGTTTGACAAGCACCGTACCTGATAACGGTGTGGTCTAGCTGTACAGGATTGGCACCCAAGAGACAGTGGTGTCAGCTGGAGCGTTCCTAGTGTTTGCCGGGGGCGTACTGGGAAAATGGAGGCCTCCCTACACAGTCTATAATAGATGGGTGAGCAGAGCAGCAGAGAGAAATGCTTTCATGCTGCATCTCTCTCTTCCACTGCAAGTGCTACATTTTAACACGGGAGAGCTCCTCAGTGTCGCCCAAGGGTATTGGACGAGGCTGCTCAGTGCCAGCCCCGGGGGACGGGCGCACAGGGCTATACTATGTTGTATAGCCATAGCCAACCAGATGCTTTGTGCGCAAGGAAAGCTTTTGAGTGCGAGGAGAGCTGCCTCTGTAGAAAACCCACCAGCAAATTCCAGTGGGGCAACCATCTGGAATGATCACATGATGCGCTTGCATGGTCTTTCCCAGACAATGCTTGACTGTTCTGTGCCACCCATTACATGCTTCCATGAACTCAGTAGGAGTGGTGGCCAAGCTGCAGCCCTCAGAGTCGGTGACCTTCGGACAGGGCTCTGGGAAGAACTTATGATCGTGTCCACTGGGCAATGTTCTGTCTTGATGCACTAAACCTGCTCTTCACCAGCCAACTGGCGTTCTACGCATCTAACTGCCTGACCCCACCCACTGTGAAAGAAGGGATTGTACAGAGCAGTGGATGCCGTAGTTGGCATGGGCTGTGGCAGCCAAAGGTGCATCTTCATATCTTCCCCAGACCAAAAATCACACGTCGTCAATCCAAGAAGAGCATGTTTTCTAGTCTGTTAACACCAGGCGTCACTGTGACAGCTTACCTGGGACTCGCGGAGAATGAGACAGAAATGGAAAGAACTAATAATGCACCACTTCTCTCTGCAGCTCTCCAGCTCTTCCTGAGGACGTGAGGAGCCACTGTCCAATGTTCCTCACCCTCCCTTTGCCTGGTAATGCTTCTGGAGTTAGGGTCTGCTCCTAGGAAAGCAGAGAGCCACTGGGGTGATTTCAAAACAATTGCATTTCATGGGTGTAAAACATACTCTTATGAAACATGCTTCTAGTGGCAAAAATCAGCTTCATACAGAGAGCAGGTAACAAGTGAAAAAGTAATGTGGACACTGTGACACAATGTGGGGGGTCTGTGTGTGTGTGTGTGTGTGTGTTCTTTAGCAATTTCATCTTGCTGAGTTTGTCAGTCAGCTTGTTGGAATTTTGGCTGTTCCCCTCCAGCCGTCCAGTCCAGCTTCCAGATCTAGGGTTCTCTTCCTCCAGCTTTTTACAGTCCATCTTCCGGCTGCTACAGCCCACCTTGCATCAGTAATGATGGTGTCTGGCAGGAGAACTTAAGTTGGAATTCCAAAGTTACGTTGAAAATAGCAATAAAAAAGTCAAGCAATGACCCACCTGTGGTGTAGATACCACGACTGAGCAGCAAGGACCAGAAAGAGTAGGATGGAGGGTGCCGGTGGCAGCGTACCAGAATCCCAAGGGTGTCATATTTAACAAGTAACTCATAGCTTTCACCTCCAGCCCTGTAAGTCGAATTAATGGCCAAGAGCTACTTTGGAGTAAAAGAAAAATAAACTCGGAAGCACTTTCATTATAGCTCTGCCATGAACACTGGCTTCCTCTCTGCCGCAGTGGAGGATGGAGATATAGGGGCCGTTGGGGTTCGCCATTCAGGGATTCATCTTTTTGTCTTATGTCTCGAAGATAAGAAACTGTGGGTCTCAATTGCTGTCAATAGCCCAAACACCATTGAAATCAAAGGGAGCTGTGCCAACTTACGCCAGCTGGGGAGCTGCTCAATTAGGTTCTTTATGTATTTTGAGCACTCACCCACAAGTAGTGACCAGTAACTTCCAGTACTAGTGCAGCCTGCATGGGGCACCCCCAGGAGCTGGGTGCCTGTTGCTCACAACAGCATTAATTCATTGTATAGCGGTAGCAGCTAATTGTCGTAGTGCACAAGTCAAAGGGCTTGTTCCCGCTCTCCCTTACACTTGTACACTAGGGTAGTCCTGGTGGCTTCACTGGACTAGCTCAGATTCACACCAGCATAAGCAAGAGGAGAACCATTTGCAGTAGAGCGTATAACGTAATCACCAGTGCAAGGCAAAGAGGAAAGCAGTGATCACCTTGTCACTTACACAGTCATTGCATGGGAAACTATTGTAGAAGATCACAGTCTAGCTGAGATGGCAGGAGATACCCGCGAGGCCGGACCCATCTAGAGTGTAAAACAGAGCCGGGGAAGAGGGAGGAAATCACCAGTACAGGGTTGTTCCAAAGGTGAGGCATTTTTACAGCTGAAGGGAAGGGGCTGTTTTATCGATGTTTGGTCCTAAATGTGGCAGGAACGCATCCACCCATATTGCAGTCCATCTCTTGGGTCTGGGCTGCTCTGCCAGCAACAATGGATCACGTCTGCTGTGGAGGTTACCTTCATAATCATCTCCCCAGCAACCAGCAGGTGCTGCGGCGCGAAAGTTGCTGCTGACTTGGGGGAGTGGGGTGAATGATGATGATGCAAGATTCTCTCTCACACTGTTGTCCTTAGTAACAAATAATGCGGGGAGAGAACTACAGGAAACCTCCAGGGCAGGGTGACAAGCGATTTAGAATATTTCCTAGGTCATCTCTGGGGAGTGGAGGGATGAAAGATGGTCGAGGAGGCAAAGCCCGTCCTACACCCATCACACAGTATCGCCAGTGCCTGAGAGACTGTCAAAGCGCAGCCCCTGGCGTGGGTTGGTGGCATGAGTCCATGTTTGCCTCTGTCCTGTTGTAACCTGCAGCTCAGGGCATGGAAATGCAAAGCGAGGCCTTGGCGGGATTCCTGAGTGAAGCAAAAGGCCGCACAGTCAGTCTGTGTGTGGCCTCCCTGGGGCTGGTCTGAGCCAGGGGTCGAGCCCAGAGGGGTGAGGAGGGGGGTTGTATTATCATTGTGTCTCTGATTGCTGCACACAAATATTTTCCTTTGGAATAGCTCTGGGTGTGCTTGTGCAGAGACCCCATGCGGGGGAGCATTAGAGAGCCCACAAACAATGTCCCGCGAGCTCCACGTAGCGAACCAGCTGCAGGCAGCGCCCCCGTCTGGCTGGTTCACGCAGGCAATGCTGCGCTGTCCTGCAGGACATGATGGACTCAGTGTGCCTCAGGCTCACCCTGCCAGCCGGGGAGATTTGAAGGCTCCAGGCCTGGATGCTGGGCGGTGGTGAGTGCTGGGGTGGAACTGTGAGCTCTGATCTACCCCTGCCCCCAGAGCAATCCGGACCTGGGTTTGC